AGCAGGACTAGATGATTCTGGCTCAGGCTGTGCCTGAATGAGGAGGCCACACAGGTTCAGCCACCAAAGCCCCGCAGACTGCTGCTTTTCTCGCTTAATCCCCACAGAAACCTACAATTTCAGGTTTCCAGGAAGCACTTAAGTTACATGAAATCCATTAGCTGTTACAACTGTACTCTCCCGTCAAGATCTTATCCTACTGAAATTGTATAAGAAATATAAACAGGTCCGTGGTGGAAGTGCTGGATAAATACAAAAGAATAAAGGTATGATGTGGAACAGTTAATGTTTATAGGCTGCTTATAAAAAGTTAATTCACCCATCTTTTCAATGGTGATGACAACACCTGTTTTCCTCGCCACATGGGGATGGAGGTGAATGAGAACAGACACTGTAAAGCTCGAGACAAGCATGCGTGGAAGTGTTTGGTCTGACTTTCTCAGTTCTGATTGCCTTTCAGCCCTGATGATTTCCTTGCCAAGAGAAAGGCTCTCCATTGGAGTACTCTGGAGTGTGCACAGCCTTTCCCGTCTGACCCAGCTTCCATCAGGCCTTCTTTCCAGAGCTTGGCAAGCCTGACCTGGGCAAGCTACTTCCCAGTAGACAAGGCCCATCTGTACCATGAATGAGACTCTGTGCTAATGTCATGCTCTGGAATTAGTTGCTCAGCCAGGCTCCCATCATGTCCTCTGCAGTGGATAGGCTAAACACGTAGGCATTAATTCTCTAAAGTGCTATCAAAATCATTTAATTATTTTTTTTTCTATAAAGGTAGGCACTATAGCCAAAATATTTCCCATAATAACCCCTACAGTGCTCATATAAAACTTCTGGTTAGAAGTGAATATTCACAGATATTAAGACTGCATTTTCAAAATTCATGAGCATTTTATAAACACTCACTACATAACCCAGCCTTTCGTCACCTTCAAACTTCTCAGTGTAATGTTGTTGAACTGTTTGTCATTCATATCTTTCTTATTGAGTACTGTGTCTTATGACTTGAAATCAGTCCTTCTGTGATAATGCTCAGCCTCAGCTACAACTGTTGCTTGCACATTGAGTGATTGCTCAGGTAGAAAATGTTATCCCTTTTCCAAATGTTTTGGCTTGTAGTCACTTAGGTTTTGGAATAATTCACTATCAACCCTTAAAAATTTTGATTCTATGCACATGAAAGAAGTCAAATTAGAAGCAAAAATGAATTTTTTTATTTTAAGAAACTGTGTGATTGTGTGTGTGTATGCATGTGTGTGTATGTGTGTGTGTATGTGTGTGTGTGTGTGTGTGTGTGTTGAATACTACCTGCTCTAGAAGTTCAGTAGAATCTTAAATAAACTCTTAATGATTCAGGTTTATACAATGCATTTGTGCTGAAATATGTACTTGTGTTCCTATGTCAGCCATTAATTTGGGAACTGTTACAAGGCCTTAACAACCTTTTTTTATATTCCCAATAAACAAGAACCCAACTCAGCAGATAGCTTTTCTGCCCGGTATTGTTTTATTAGTATAATGGCTTTATGGCAATGATTCATTCAGTGGTTTATTGGCAACAAGGCTAGTAACTGTAGTTAAATATCTTTCATGATGTGGTAATTTGCAAAACCGAGCATCTTTGATTTCGTGTAGTGATATAAAAGCCACTGACTGGCTCAGTCACTCTCCATTTAGTAGACGTCAACTTTGTCTGGCTTCAAGTAGTTTTCCAGGGGGTAGAGGGGAGTCAAGATTTCCATTTTCACCCATAGGTGCTAAGAAAAGCCTGGTTACCCCTCAGTGGATATTTATTTCCATGTGTGTGCTTGCAGCTGTGACTCATAGCTTGGAAAATAGGGAGGCACTTGGTGATGGTACTTATTAGCAAGTTTCCTTCAGCTACTATAATTAATTCAATGCTTCCTTCCTGTTAAAGGTGACCGGATAACCTGTAGCCCACCAGTTTGCTTTCTCGATAAAAGCTTTTCATTTTTCTTTTAACTTTCCATGCTCCCTCAAATCAGCTTTGCTTTTTTTCCTCCTTTCAATGCTGTGTACCTGAACCTAAGACTATTACATGGTCTGAAAGCTTTGAACATCAGGGCTGTGATCAGTCAGTAAAGCAGTCCAATTTCCACTTTGTTCAAATAGTACTTTCCTGTCTTGTCTGGGAAAAGTGTCTGCCAATTCATTTTTCTCTTCTTATCAGCAAAACACATATATACCGTGCTTGTGTTGTTTAATATACAACACAGAGAAAATCCCTGAACAATCAGAAGACAAGTTAGAAAACCTGCTCAGGTTTGTGCTCTCATCCCAAAGCTCTCACTTTTGTTTGTCGTCAAATGAGAAAGCAAATTGACAGAGCACTGATTTTACAGATGTTAGTCATTGCAAAGTGTCAGGCCTCAATGATGGTCTTCTCTTAAACAAAGAATACTTATCACATGCTCAGTTTCTTAGGAACCATTTCCCTCCCCTGCATCTCCCAGCTCCCAAGCCTGATTTACATGCAGATAGTCTTGGACAATAGTGACTCATTTATATTGAAGAAATACTTGACAAAGCCATAGAGGTGCACCCTCCCAAGCCCCTCCAAAACACTCCTACCAAATATGGTGCTGTAGGGTTTTTATATCTATCATGAGAAGGACTGTTTGATACCCCAAAAGATAACACATTCTTTACTCATTGCTTTATTATTTCTAACTTATTTTTTCTTATCCTTCTACTTATTTTTTTTTTCATTGAGAAGCGATATCATTTTCCCCCATGGAAGGAAAAAGCAAATGTCATTGTAACTCTGCACTTAGTACTTTAAATTTTATATCAAAGTCACAAAAGGATTAAAACTGGTCCAAAATGTGGACCACTTTGTTTTGTGCCCTGTCCTGTCCCCTTGTTTTGCCTCCTGTTTGTTTGCAGTTGGAATAGATGGGACACATAGAAAAGGGCAAAACAGAGAGAATATGAAGCTTTCTCTAGTCTTCTGCATTGGTCGCATCACCTTCCGGTTCACCCAGATGCATTTCTTGAAGCAGCTACTATGTGCCCAACATGCTGTTGAGATGTGCAGACTAAATACAGGACTAAGGACATGGCTTAGGCCACGGCAAGCCAGACCAGTTCTACCACCTATTAGCTCCATGTAACTCAATCTCTCTCCTAGTCTATAAACTAAATTAGAAAAGTTTCTATCTCCTAGTTTTGTAGAAAGAGCCAAATAATTTAATATTCTCAGAGCCTCCTGCAATGGTGCCTGCCATCTAGTCTGTGCTCAATATTAGTGATTATTTTTACTATTCTAGCCCCTAAAGCTATTATAATCAAATCAAGAGAGATAACATATAATAAATCATGTGGAATTGTATGATACATATTTCAACTGCAGTAGAATAATAGGAGAAAACGATTAAAAATATAATTAGTTGGAAAACTGGCACTTGAACTAGCTTTACCAATAACAACCACTGTTGAGTGTCTGTGCTTCCTTCATGAACTCTCTCACATAGTCTTTTTTTTTCTTCCAGTTTATACTCACTATTCTTTTCAATCAAAATCTAGCTTAGATGAAAAATAAAATGCAGTGATTTATTCTCTGACTTCCCAGAACTCCTGAGGAACAACACAGCTAAATGCTCAATGGAAGGAGTATGCAACCTAGAATATAGAGGGCTGAGGACTCTGGGTCTGTTATTTCTAGTAGATGGCTTTAGTTTTGTTTAAGACCTTAAATATTTAATATGAGATAAGAAAATGGCTGGGAATATAATTTATAAAAGAATTGTGGGGATTCTATGACAAGTTATAAAGACATTAAACTGTGATTTTCCTTCATCTCTGACAGAAGTATACTAAACACAGCAAGGCAGGTTCCCACTGTGCTTCACGTGTATGGCCAGACACACCTTTGAAACACAAGAGGAAGTTATAAACACATTACAGAAACATTGGGTCAGAGCGCATGAGGAGCCTGAGGACCTGATCCCTGGTCCAGGGGCCTGGAAGACCCTGCACGTGGTGTTTCTCAATTAGAACCTCAACTGTCTAATATATAAACTAGGCATAATGATACCTTCTTCACTAGGTAACACTTAAGATTTCCCAGATGGCAAAAATATAATGTCTATGCAAGTTCTTTGAAAATTGTAAAATGCTGCTCAATTGTTTGGTGGTGCCATGATCAAGTTTAGAGTCTAACAGGAAAATAGAACAAAATAGATGTAAAAGACCAATAGGAACCTAAGAACATAGAGAAAATAAGCAGCTGAACGGCCTGAAAAAGCAGGTAACATTCCAAAATGTCTGTTCATCTGGTCATGTTTGACTAATTGAAGGTCACAACAGAGAAGAAGAGTTAGTTTCTAAACTACCAATTTAAGAAGTTATGTTTAAACTTACTAATTTAAAAATCGAGGATATACTTATTAATTGAAGAAATGCTGTTTTGATACACATGTATTATCATACAAAAATTATAGTGGAACCTGATATGTTTCATATTGTAAAAAGTATTGTGTTTTCACAAATATGTTAGACTGTGAACATGGTGTAATTTAAGACCGCTAATGACCTCTCAGGCCAGACTGTTTACTTCAATCCAGCATTGAGTCACACTGGCTATTATGTTCACAACTTTGTTAATTGCCCTTCTATGTTGATACTATACTCAGTATTGTATTTATTGATTACCTGTGCTTTGGTCAGAAGAACAATATATTTGGGCCAGCACTTAGCGTGAATCAGGCTCTTAGAAAGCTGTCATTAAACCCCTACTAAGACACCTGAGGTCATCTTGGTACCACAAGTAGATAATACAGGAGCATTACTCTGAGATCAGTGGAATCTTGTACTTCAATGATTACAAAAATGCTTACATGTATACATTCTAATAGTAAGCCAATCGTTTTTGTTGGATTCTCAAAATAATTAAGAAACAATTATTAAAGGAATGAGTAAATGGTATCTGGATTAATTAAACTCCAAGAGCTTTCTAACAGGAAATATGTTTCTTTTCTTAGGTACTGAAGTTTGAACCTGGCAATATCAAGAGGAGGGGCCTGGCTAAGAACATGGCTCTTGTTGACATCCAGTTGGATCACCATGAACGGTGTGATTGTACCTGCAGCTCAAGACCACCTCGATAAAAGAATGTGCATAAACTTACATTGAGCATGAAAGAACCTTTAGTTTAAGAAGGATATGGTAAGGGACCCTTTCCCCACCCCCAGCAACCGAATTTGCTACTAGCCTGAAATATAATGATACAGTGATTGCTGAGACGACCTAGCTTTGTTAGTTCTGTGGCAAGTAGAAAGGTGCATCATCAATTTCTATATCCAAGAATGTAAGACTGCATTTTATAGTAGTATGTGAAGGATATATATGTATACACACAAATATATACATATGTCCAGGATATGTGTAAATAGATACATGGTTTATTCAGTAGGTATAACCAGGTACACCAGAGCTTATATATGGCTGAATGATTTAGACCCTTAATATTTTTCCAAAATAAGGGTAAGGGATATGTCAAATATATAACACACATCTGTAGGAAATTCAGAAGATGAACTTTTTATTTTATTGAATTTTGAATCACAAACCATTTTGGATCTTGAGCCCTTAAAGAAAGCATCTTGTATATTAAACACCAACATATAGGCTTTTCTTAGATATCTGCCTTAATTATAAAAAAGGAAAAATATGGTTTGTGGGAAAAAGACAATTACCTAACCATTTTTTCCATGAGATGCACTACACATGCTTGGTAATGTGGACTATAGTTGACTTTCTCCAAAACCATGCCATAATAATATGGAAAATTTAGAAATTAAGTCACTAAGTTCTCTTTTTATGCATTTTCTGAGACATTCTAATTCATTTAATATCCATCTCAAAAAATATTGTTCAGAGTGTTTATTATTATGATCCTTCAAGAGACAACTTATAATAAGTTTTAGCAGAATTTTGAATTTTTTTCTCTGCAAAAATTCCTCCAAAATAACAAATCCTTTAATAAATGGCATGGAGATTATGTATGAACCTTTCAAATGGTGTTCATTAAAAAATTTGGGCAGTTGAAAGTCAAAAACCTAAGCATTGAAATATTGACATAACTGGAAATTAGATGGAATATTTGATAGGATCCATATTTAATAATGGATTCAAACTATCCAAACTGTGCCAATAATTTTATGTATTTTGCTTTTGTGTTCCTGTCTCTTCAATATATACACATGGATTTACAATGGCATTTTATATTTGGTGAGCCATCATGGATTATTTATAACCTAAAAACTTTTGTATATTAATAAAGCAAGCAAATTTTATTGATGTAAATCCCTAATTAGATCCTCACTTAACATTCTGAATTTCTATTTCTGAACCAAGTGAAATCAGATCTGGAGTCTTCTGTTCTTTCCAAATCTAGGGAGCCCCTTGTAAATTATGGGAGTATAAATTTTGCCCTACTACACCACTTAAAAACTGTTTTGCATTTGTTATTGATATTTGGAGTAAAATTTTCTCTCTGACTCCTTTGTGTCTATTTTAAAGAGACTGACTTCAGGAGTAGGAAATGATTCATCATTCTCAAAGCAAGACACTTAAGAGGGAACACTGAGATCAACATAGCTCAAGGGTTGCTCACAGAGGACCACATTTTTCCTGCAGTCTTGAGAGTTAAAGGAGAGCTGATTTCTTTTATGAGTCCAGGGTCCTACTGACCACAATCAGTTAGTGTGAGGGAGACGTGCCCCTACTGTTTAGGTCCTGGTGTCAGATGAATGGCCTACATATATTGGGACTTTTATGTACAGTGCTCTCAGACCCAAGTTGTCAGCTGTCCTCAAGTAGCTTATTTCTTCTTGACTCTTTGAAATAAGACCTACGCTTATTGATGATGTACTTTCTAAAACTCCCCTAAAAGTGTTCGGTGTTTTTACTCAGGGAATAAGTGGTGAAATAAAGTACTCTGTTGTTCAGTTCTCCTAAAATCCCAGAGCACAGTCAGAAATAGCCCAGGCAGACAGTAATAATTAGGAGCCACTTCCCTTTCAGGACCACTTGCATATTTTCCTGGGAAAACATCAGCTTCCTGTTCCAAAATCAAAATGTGTGTTAACATCACTCACTTTAGCTTGTACAGCTCACATTGTAGCTGTAAATATGAAAAATCCTCCGTGTTCTAACCCAATTTTCAATAAACCTCCCAGGCTGCAATAAACAGGATGGTTTTCAGTTAAAGCCCTATCTGTACTTTTTATTTATTAGCTGAGATGTAAGCAGACGTATTCACTCACTTATCCTTTTCTTTCCTGCATGTTTATTAAAACTTCTCCCTTGGTTATCTGTTACCTATCGCACTTCCAACGTGTAGCCAATAAATCTGTTCCATTGCCATCAAAGGAATAAAAAGTTCACTGTACAAATTACATTTCAAAACACACCCTAATAAATCCACATTGCTGCACGGCTCACTCACCTGGAATAATGCCTTTCATTCAATATGTTCTTATAAAGCAGAACACTTTCGTAAGTAGAATGTTTTATGTTTTTTTGTCATATCGGTAACATGCAGCTTTTTCCTCTCACAGCATTTTCTATAGCAAATGTAATATGCCTCTTATCTTCATGAAAAATAAATATTGCTTTTGAACAAAACCACTCCATTATTTAGTACTCAATTGCAGTTTTAAAGGGTATACAATATTACAAACATACTTTCACAAATGGATCCAGCTGTTGGGAATGACAAAATTGGGTGATATCTGAGGGCAATTTATAAGAGCTAAAAGAATGAACGTGCTCCCAGATGACAAGCTTCCACTCTGTCCCCATCCTGCCACCACATAGTGAGATGGGACTTGGGCTTCATGGTCTTGTTGTTGCTGTCCTTGGCTTTTTGTTTGTCTTTTCTCCCACAGGCCTTCTGATGGATGACACTGTCTTTTGACATTGCCTGATTCCCATGCTCTTCCTCGGGGTCTGAAATCCACAACCTCACAGCCTGTTTCCCTTTTGCTCACAGCCCCCACCCTTCCCCATCCAGGTCAGCTAGTGGGTCAGTGGGTCAGTGATAGGCTTCAGGGAGACTAGTTAGCACTGTTCCCCTACAACATTTAGTTTATGGTTTATGAAGGAGCACAGAACACAAAGAGAGTCTTCTGGCTTCAAATATCTTTTGCTTGTAGCTTAGTCTTCACTATCTTATTGGAGACAGTGTAGCATCTGCACTGTGTTAGGTGAAACTCTGCCACTTTAAGGGTTTCGGGTTGTTTGGAGAATGTATGTAGGGAGAAATATATTCTTTTTTTTTTTTTTTGGTACCGGGGATTGAACTCAGAGGTACTCAACCACGGAACCATGACATTCCCAGTCCTATTTTGTATTTTATTTAGAGATAGGGTCTCACTGAGTTGCTAAGCACCTCGCTTTTGCTGAGGTTGGCTTTGAACTAGTGATCCTCCTGCCTCAGCCTCCTGAGCTGCTGGGATTACAGGTGTGTGCCACCATGCCTGGCTGGGATATGTATATTCTGAGGCAAGAATCAGTTGACCACCATCAGAAATACCATCTAATATTTAAGTCACAGTGTGGAGGAAAGATGGCGAGGGATCAAATAATTCTGTGCATAATAGTTAATTCAGATAACTTGTTTTTTCATGTAAAAGTCATAACTGTATATCTAAACAATACTTTAGTGCAAATATATTAAGAATTTTATTAAATTTCCTAAAATGTGCATGTGTCCAGTTTTACTCTAAGAATAATTCAACAGATGTCCAAAATGGTTTATATGCTCCTAGGGTCCTCTGGTAGAACATTAAATTATAATTCATAGATTAGTATTCATGCCTAAAATCCTAGGAAATTCATTTTTGTTTATTGACAGCCCTGATCAAATATGCTAGAAGATAAAATATTTATAATTCTCTGGTTTTTATTGACATTTCACTCAAATTCTGTTGTTTTTAAAGATCAAGTTAAAGACTACACAGGCCCTGAAAACTTAACATAGCACACTGGGATATCTCAAATAAAATAGTTAGACATTAATAGATAAGGCACTAACTGCTTAATTTAAGACTTCTTCTTGTGTTCAAATTTTATTTCCGAATTTGCAAATTAATCTGTACCTTTTAAAAAATGAATTTTCTTTCCCTATAGAAGTCTAAAACCTCTTGAGCAGATTACATTGGAAGACAGTAAAGGAGCTGAGTCCATCATGAATTCAACACAGCAAGCTATAGACCAAAAAAAAATCTTCATTTTCTTACAAAATCATGGGACTTTATAATTATCTAAACTGTTGGATACTGGTTGTTAGATTTGGTGGCCAGAAACTAAATTTAAAAATCATTCTTGGATTCCATTTACATTTTAAATAATAACTGAAATGCAAAGTCTCTTTTAAGAACTAAAGTCTCTGGTTAGGCTTTTTAACCCATTTCCTTGGTGAAGGCCATATGACAAATGTCTCCTCTTTCACCTTAGTCTCTTCAGGGCTTCCTTTTCTCTCCCTTTTCTCTCTGGTCTCACACCCTACCCTTTCCCACCTGCCTCCATCCACCACTCTTTCAGTCAGACAAATTCAGGATTGATGCTCACTCTTAGGAGGCATAGGAGGTGGGAATCCTTTCAGGAGATCAAATGCACAATTTCCCAGATGAGCAACTAACGAGGTGAAATTATCAGGTATTTTAAGAAATCACTGCTGCTTGATAGTCAAAGACATCATGTAAATATTTTCCAATATTGTTCATTTTGGTGCAAACTTCAGAGTATCATAGTGGACATTTATTGATATGTGTCAAAAGGAATTTAGCCACAGTCAACATGGGCAAAACTGACTAGATTAAATGTTGCATTCATTCCTTCAAGAATAAATACATTAAAGCCCACCATATATCAGGTATACTTTGGGGTTTAAAACACAAATCAGATGTACAACAGAGTATGAAACTAGAGAAGGGTATTCTAGGTGGAATAAACAGAAAACAAAGATTTCCTCAGCAAAAATGCATAAGGCAAATACAAAGCACACAGAGAATAAATTCAAAGAGTTTCAGTTCAAAGAATGCAGAGAAAAGTGGCAGAAAGGAAAGGAAATGAATTTGTAGTAGAACAATGGGTGTTAACTTAGATAAGTACCTACCTAATCATGCAAAGTCTTGCCTGCATGGATAGCAGAAGAGTTTAGTCTCTTTACACTTAGGAGAGGAAGCCGTGGGGGCTGTAAATACCTTAGAAAGCTAGACAAAAACGTAGAAGGCCTTGGGCACCTGAATTAATCTGCCATTTTCTGGGCCCGTGTTTCCTCTTTACAAAATTGGATATGTAAGGTGTTCTTTTGGTCCCTTCCAGTGGAATAATTCTGTTTTTCCACGTTTTGGAAAATAGCAGTCTACAAGAAGAATCAAAGCATGTAGGGATGTGTGCACCTTGTGGCTGTGCAGGCAGTGCACTGCACCTCTCCATGGGTGCTATTTGTATCAACTAGGACTACAAGAAAGGTTAACAGAAGACAAAGGTCTTCCTGATAGAATGGGTACCAGAGTGAAGGCTTGGGGGTATCCCAAAGAAAGGAGCCACGTGAGAGAGAATTCAAGAGCATTGTTTTGAGAAATCTCTGGAGATGGGAAGGAGAAGCCAACTTTGAAAGCCCATCTCTCAGAAAAGGGGCCAGAGCTTATAATGTTGACTGGCAGTCAGACTTAATAGTGGTAGAACTGCAACCATTAGAAGATGAAGGAATAGAAAAAGAAGGACATCCATAAGCAAAGAAAAAAGGGGAAAAGGTATGTTCACAAAGCTCCAAAAAGTGTGTCTAAAATGTAAGTGCCCACTGAGGGCCAAGTGTCCAGCCCTCTTATAGACACAGCAGATTGCCCACATGATAAAATGGGCATGTGTCTTGCCCTTATCAACCCAGAGTAGGGAGGTTAGATATTAAACAAATAATTACATAAATGATCTATTTATAATGGCAAGGAGGAAAAGCATGATGTAGGGTGACAGTAATAGGTGACTCTGGATCAAAGGTGGGGGAGATTCCTTGAGAAGATGACACTGGAGCAAGAACAGAATTGGATCAATATTAGGAGGAATGGAAGAGGAGAGAGTGGTGTTACAAATGAAAAAGAAATTGGCTAAATTTAATAAACATTTTGAATATTTCATGGACAATTGGTGATGGGTTGGAGGGAGGTAAAGCAAGATGTCAGGGCTTTTCAGGGCTTCCGGTAAAACCAACTAAGTGTATGAAAGTGCTGTGTGCTGATATGGGGTTCATGGGAAAAGAAGTGGGGTAGATTAAGATTTCGCCATGAGGTATTAATGCCAAGTCACTTTTGACATACCCAATGGAGATGTTAAGAGGACAGTTGCATCTGTGGGGCTGGAGCTCAGAAGAGGGTCTAAGGATGAGGTATAACTTTGGAGTCATACACATGACTGTTAAAAGCCACAGAAATGGTCACTAACACCCTTAGAAGAGGACAAAAATTGAGGGGGGAGACAATCACAGAACAATACAAAGTGTATAAAAAGATTCTGAGTGCCAGAGAAGAAATTATCTCAAGGGGACTGGTCATTTTCTCAACCCTTGTGGAGAAGATGAAGGAGACATCTCCTGATTTATCTGCTGAGACACATTCCTCCCTCCCCTACCACCAAGCCTCTTTCTGTGAGCTTCTCTTCACCTATAGCACTACTGTCCACTAGAACTTTTTGTGGTGATGGAAGTGTTCTGTATCTGCGCTGCGCTGCACTAGCTATGTTGAACACTGTTGCCTGTTGAACACTGGAAATGTGACTAGTGTGACTAGTGATATTTTAAATTTTATTTACCTTTAATTACTTCAGATTTAAATGTAAATAGCTGCATGTGACTAGTGGTTACTCTATCAACCATTGCAGCACTGGGTTCTAGCCACTACCCACAGAGTTATAGTCCTAATACCCACATCCCAATACTGCATGTGCATGCATGTGTGAGCACACACACACACACACACACACACACTCACAAGCTGCAGCTGAACATCTAGGGGAGGGCAACTGACTCAAGCTTTCTTGAGATAAATGGACCTGAAAAGAGATTCAGATCGTCTCTCTTTGGCTTTAGATGGTAGGCTCTGAAAATCAATGGTGATTGGCACCCATCTTTTCTGTTACGTTAACCAAAAATAAAATAAAATACAAAATACAGGGAAATTCAAAAGGCAAAGAGAGAGGGAAGAATA